CACACACACACACACACACACAGAACCTCACTCACTAGCAGGTACACACACACACACAAACACACACACACAGAAGCCCACTCAATCACTAGCAGATGCAAACACACACACCGAAGCTCACTCACTAGCAGATGCAAACACACACACACACAAACACACACAAACAGAAGCTCACTTACTAGCAGGTACACACACACACACAGAAGCCCACTCAATCACTAGCAGATGCAAACACACACACACACAGACACTCACTCACTAGCAGACACACACACACACACACACACACACAGAAGCTCACTCACTAGCAGATGCAAACTCACACACGCACACACACACACACACACAAACACAAACACAGCTCCTCCCTCATTACTCCCCTCGGACTGACACAGGCTGGCACAGTCCAAGGGGAGAATCATTTAAATTAAAGGAGACTGATCAGTGATAAGGGCTGTCAGCCCAGCACCAGGTGCCGCGGCCCAGTCTGGCCTTGTGCAGGAGAGTACAGCATTGAGGTCTATGGAGGATTCTGCAAGACCACAACATCCTCCATAGACACAGCCAATTCCCTGCAATAGTCACTGGTGATCGCTATCGGGATTGACTCTTAGACTCCAACCTAAGTCTAAGAAAGTTAGGCAGTGGAGAAATACAGAGATAAAGTAGTCCCTTCTTTTCTATGTATATGTCTTGACTGGGTTTAAATTTCAGTGAAATTTCAATTCAGTCAGAATGAGTATTTCTTAGACATTCATTATAAAATACTACTTTTTTTTGGGGGGGGGGAGTGGGGGGAATGTTGATGCTTTTACTACTACAGGGTCAGAAGGCTGATCACTGTCTAGAGTTACTAACGCTTTGACCCAGGGGATTGGACATCCTCAAACCTGATTCATCTGTCCCATATTTTAAATACTTTCTGGTTAAGGAAAAGAGTAGGGGTCACTCATCAAGCTCTTACCCAATTTGTCTTGCATCACAACCCCACAAGCACAAATTGAAGAAAGATGGGGGGGCTTTTTGTCAGTTGCTAGTTTTATTTCTTTTTTTATGTTAAGAAAGAGCCAATTTGCTTTCTCAGCATCTTTGAGTTGATTAGTTATCTTTAATTACATGCAGTTGTCTAATAGACCCCAGCATATTTTATGGGCTTATGTTTTTTTCCCATTTTTTAAATTATTTGTAGCTGAAAATAGCTCCAAAGTGTTCTTTTTTACATCTATGATTTAAAGACTTACTCCACTTATGTTCCAGGCATCATGTAAAGGATGTAATTCACATTGACTAAGCTGAGTAATACTTAGAAGCCAGCATACAAGTCATGGTGGTTAATATCCTGTATCTTTAAACTGACTGAGCATAACTCACTTATTCAACTACTGCTGCTTCACTGTCATGTTAGGAAATCAACCTGATACAGGTCAAACATGCAGCATATACCTTTCAACATGACTTAATTAAAAATCATTAAAGGGACACTAAAGGCACCCAGACAACATCAGACCATTGAAGTGGTCTGGGTACAGTGTCCCAATGGCACTTAGTGCTGCAAGGTAAACATTCCAGTTTTAGAGAGTCGCTTCCAGAATGTTACCAGACTTTTTATCCAGTAACTGATGCTGGACATCCTCACACTCTGCATGAGGACTTCCAGTGTCATCTACTTCCCCATGAAAACATTGATTTGCGGCATGAACATTAGCAGCCCCCTCGTCGAGTGATGTTGGAGGAGGCAGAGCCGCAAGCCAGCACGAGGGACATTGGTTCTGGGATCAGGTAAGTAAATAAAGGGTTTTTAACCCTTTATTCCCTGAGGCAGGGGCGTGACAAAACAGAGTGGGGAGGCTGCGTGGGGAATGCAGCTTTATATCCCTTAAAAAGAGAAAGGCTTATGATATACTATACATAAAACACTTGGCAACCATGTGTAATGTCAGTTATCAACTGCAAAGGCCAGTAAAGATATATCACATATATTAAAAGTAGCACTATGAAAATATAACTTAAAGATATATTAAAAAAACATATATAACATATTAAACGAATGGCAAGATTCCACCTTGAATTAGAATCTTTGATAACTAATTTTAAACGAAGAAAAAAGGAGAGAGAACACAAGGTTCTATGTCCCTGTGTGTCCACCTGTGTATACTCTCCCCAGGATGGAAAAAAGGAGGGGAGAGAGGAAACAACAGGTGCCCAACAGGGACTAATGTACCGAAGCGAGATTCCAGGTATCTCAGAGGGGCTTGACCCCAAATAGACAAACAACACAACAAAAAAGGTATAATGAATGCAGTCTGTCTCAGAGTGTACTTGAGATCAGCTGCATAGCCTGGAAGTATATATAACGGTATAGTGTGCTATAAACCCTGGCTTATGAATAATGAGAGACCTATGATGGTATGATAAGAAATAAAAAATAATAATAATAAATAAATAAAGTATCTACAGGTAGTACGAAAATTCTATGCCAGACCAAAAGTAATCGATAGGGATATCAAAGTATAACCTGAATCATAGCTCACCCTGGTTATCAGCTTTATTGTAATATACTATTAGGGTGAGGGTAAAGAGAAAAGGAGGGAGTAAATCCCATACAATGGTCAATCCTAGGAATCGTCTAGTATACAAATCTATATAACGTATGCTCCAAGTCAAGTTATAAAGGATAGATGAAAGGATAGAGGTAATTGATATATAAAAAACACCAGTCAAAAAATAGACTGGTAATATATTTTAAATTACAAAGCCTCTCTCCCTGTAAATCTAGCTAGACAGGCATAGAACAGAAATAAAGATAGATTAGGTATAGTGCAAAATCATGGTGCTACATCCACCAGTGCCCAGTGCTCATATCAGACGAAGGTGCATCTCTCTAGCACCGAAACGTACGTTGGGCATTTTTACTCATATCACTTGATATGAGCACTGGGCACTGGTGGATGTAGCACCATGATTTTGCACTATACCTAATCTATCTTTATTTCTGTTCTATGCCTGTCTAGCTAGATTTACAGGGAGAGAGGCTTTGTAATTTAACATATATTACCAGTCTATTTTTTGACTGGTGTTTTTTATATATCAATTACCTCTATCCTTTCATCTATCCTTTATAACTTGACTTGGAGCATACGTTATATAGATTTGTATACTAGACGATTCCTAGGATTGACCATTGTATGGGATTTACTCCCTCCTTTTCTCTTTACCCTCACCCTAATAGTATATTACAATAAAGCTGATAACCAGGGTGAGCTATGATTCAGGTTATACTTTGATATCCCTATCGATTACTTTTGGTCTGGCATAGAATTTTCGTACTACCTGTAGATACTTTATTTATTTATTATTATTATTTTTTATTTCTTATCATACCATCATAGGTCTCTCATTATTCATAAGCCAGGGTTTATAGCACACTATACCGTTATATATACTTCCAGGCTATGCAGCTGATCTCAAGTACACTCTGAGACAGACTGCATTCATTATACCTTTTTTGTTGTGTTGTTTAACTAATTTTAAAGAATATTATGGAACTGGAAATAAACAATAGGAGGAAAACAATTCTTATAAGAATAATGTAACATTTTAGTAAGAAAAATGTCTAGAGAAGTTGGAAGATTACTTTGATTACATCGTGAAAAGGGATAATGATAACATTATATTGTCCCTATGTACATTTGTGTAAAGATCTCACTTTGATCTGTTCTGAAACAGATTTATGCAAAGGAGAAGAGGTCACCATGTAAATATAGGTTTTCATACAGCTGAGAAAAGGGTTGGATCAGCAGCAAAAATGTGAGATTTGCATTTTGACTGTGCATGCATACTCAGCCTCTTGCCTCCATATTCTTACATTAACTTTTTATCTTTGTATTCGGTAAGGCTTAAAACAACTTGACGATTCATTTTTCATCTAGAAAAACACATCACTATATATTTTCAAAGTGTTAGTTGAAGATAAATTGTAGACAGTTTAAACATTTTATCTCACTGAATTGGTTTTAGTGCCTGGAGCCCAGTTTTTATTCAATTTAATACTAGATGGTTCATTGTGTCCCACGGCCCAACCCTCATGGGCTACTCACTTCCTTGTAACCATACCAATTCATACCTGGAATTGCACTGTGACAAGCTGCATGCGGTCAGTTGATACTATCAGTCAATCGCATCAGTCAATCGCAGGCACCTACTGTTGCTCAGGCTAATGCTTCCTCAATACCTCAGTGTCACTCTCACCATCTGCCCACCCAAGTGTCACTCTCCCCCACTGTCCTCCTTCCACACTCAGTGTCACCATTCTCTCTCCCATGTCATTGGCTCATTATCTCTTTCATTCTTGTTCACTATTTTAAAAGAACTCTCTGAGCATCATAACCATTACTGTGTCCTGGCATCCTCCCTGGATGGGTAGTCAAACAATTTGCAAGTGGTTTGACTTGACTGGCTTTTGACTTATCTTCTCCGGAAGAGATGGAAACTCTCTGCACTGAGCTAACCTGTTGGTGCATGGCTTTTCTGATTGTCTGACAGCACTCATCCCATTTACTCTGTAGGGCTTAACACATGGGAGCTTTCGGCTCTCCTGCCGTCTGTGAATGGTTTAAGGTAAGTTGTCAAACTGTTCATAAACAACATCGCTTACCATGGTACTTAGTGGGCCCTTAAATGGTAGCATTCACTGGTGATCTAGAGGACCACTGATTGTATTCCTCCCAATGCCTACATTTGCTGTCAATAGTATATGAACTAGAAACTCATGCAGAAAGAAGCTCTGAGATCTCTGGTGGCAGAGATAAACCTCCCCATTATAACACAGGAATACTTACACCGGGCAAATGCTACAGCAAAGGGATCTTAAGTGGTAGATGCCATCACCAGCAATGTAACTCCACCCCTAATGACTGTAATGATTACTTATTCTACCTCTCTAAAAGGCACCCACGAGTGGATCTGACTGTTGAAGCAGGTTTCTGTCATTTCCACCGCCTCATTATGATTTGGGCGTATGGTTTTAGAGCTAAAGCTCTCACACTATAAATCAAGCGCTTTATGGTCAGTGCCCTGTTGTGGTTCTTTATCGGTCTATATAGTGCATTCTGTATTTTCAATGTTAATATTTGTTTATGACTAACTGTTTATCTTTGCATTTGGTAAGGCTTGAAACAACTTGAAGATTAATTTTTGATCTAGAAAAATACCTTGACCAGGTTATAGTCTCACATTCCCCTGTTCTCTAGTTACCTTGTTTTTTTGCTATTTCATGACTGATCTATCTCAGCCACGTTAAACATGACCAGTCTAAGGTCTATATAAATATAGCTACATTTTGTGAGTTGGGGTTTACACCATGACAGTCACTCCTATGCTGTTTGTTGTTTAATGAATTTAAAACCTGTTTAGTTTTACCTTTTGAGTTGTCAGTCAAAACCATTTTACTCTTAACTAAGTTTTCTATCTTTTGTTTCCTGCTCTGAGTTTCTGCCACTCTTTTAATAAATTTTGCTATTTGATTGCACGCTGATCTGTCTCCTTTGAACAACTGTAACATTGTGGGTAGCATCAATATTGTTTGAAAGCTTCTTGTCACAGTGAGGAATGACACGATGACAAATGCTCCTCAGGGACAGACATTGTTGGCATTTCACATACGAGCCCCAGAAAATATTGATTCAGCTCCATATCAGCTACAAAAAGCCTGCTCAAAGGGCCACAAAGATAAAATATTTCTGAGTGTATAATTTATTGAACAATCTAAGACTGCTAGAGTGAAATTCTCATTGAGAGGTACATTAGGTGAATACATAGATTGGGGCATTTCAGATATATTAAATGTTTATGTCTGAGCATTCTAGTTTCCTCTGGTAGTGAGTTTTTGTCTGTCTATTACGAAGAGGTATATGGCATGATGCCTATGCCTGTGCATTAGAAGGAGGAGGTAAGTGATATTTGCGATGATGTCTGTGTATTAGGAAATAGTGAGATGCGTTTTGTTCTGATGTCTGACATATATGTATCATGATATTTCTCTATTAGGAAGGAGTGAAAGGAATACTAACTAGACTTGTGAATTTTGTTTCAGCCATTTTTCAATTCATCCAAATTTTAGCCCAATTGGCTGTTGTGCACCATAAAGACATATGATGACTAGCGTGATGGCCGAACATGTTTGTTTGATTTGGTATTAGGAGTTCTGCCCATGGCGTCAAAAATCAAGATAAATGACCAGGGGACACCACTTAAATGATTTAATTCACATGCGAAATTAGAAGTGACCAATGGGGGGAGGAGGAGAAATCCTCCCTACTTTTTCCCTTCCATTAGATACTTTTTCTTACTTAATATGTGAATCAAATGGAGGGAAATTGTCCCATTAGTGTAAAGACTGCAAAATAGATACATAATTTTTTTTTAATATATTTTTATTATGTTTATTATTTTGCAGTACACTGATAGGCCCTTTTTTATGTCCATTTTGTTTTTGTTTTTATGGTTGATATTCAGTACGAACCAAACTATTGTTCAACCTTGATATGCATGTGAAGAAGTTGGTTAGATGTGTGAACCAGAACTTCCTGTATTAGGAGAGATTTAAAGAGTATATCTTGATCCCTCTGTATAAAGAGGGAGAAAGATTGTTTGAGCTATATGTTCATTTATTTCTCTTTGTCAAGATTGAGTCAGATGTGTGTGCCTTAATTTCTATGTATTAGGAGAGAGAGAGATGTGTATTTAAAAAAAAAATATGTATTCGCAGGGAGTGTGAGTTGTATGTTTTGATCTCTTCTTATTAGAAAATGATATGTATGTGCTTTTATTTTGGCTCTGTATTAGGATGGATGCCTTGACCTTTCCGTATTACTGTCTCTGAATTACTGAGTCTGTCACTCTCTGTATTACTGGATCTTTACAGTGTCACCATGCTTCTTTCCTGCATCACATTTAATGTGTAGCGTCATTCCCGCACCTTTGGTAATACTCATGTGAAATGTTCAATAACGTAAAACACAGGTTCTTCACACAAGAGTTGAATAAGCAGAGATTCCTTTATTGCTTGTGCACAAGGAGAGAGTAAAATAAGACTGCCCATCCTCTATATGAAAAACACATAACTTATATACAGTTAAACAACACAGCTTACGTGCCAGAAACAGCATTGTGACAAAAGATCAGTATCTTGATTTATGCAGTAAAAACACTAATTAAGTAATTAGTTACTTGTAAACCCACTCATCCTGCTATGGTCAGTTCAGTCTACTACTGAATCAATCTCTTCTGACCATTCACCCTAAGGTGATAACCCACCTTTACCT